AGTACAGAGTCACATTTATTTGTGCCATTTATTTCTTGCTGGAGTTCAGCTTCATGGCTTACACTTGATGCCTAGGCTGAAATGCAAGGAAACATGCCAGCCATGGCCTTTGTCCTTTTTATTCATTTTACCTTTCTAGTTTAAAGGTAGGTAGTGCTAGGTGATCAATAGAACATCTGTGCTAGTAAAACAAAAAAGACTGGTGCATTGTTAATGGCATGCTTGTTATATGACATGTAAGGCAATGTAAAGAGACCACCAGAAGTGTCGGTGATATAGTTAGACAGGTGCGTGCTCATAGAGCTTCTACAAGACTGCAGGTTTCTTTGTAGAGTTCACCATTGGTTATGACTTCCAGCTGTTAATTGGATCACCTCTATAACTAATGGCACATCCTGTATAAAGATTGAGATGAAAGAGTCAGCATGGTCATGGACAATTACTTAAGACTTAATTATGGATTGGGGCTTTTGAAAGACCAGCAGGTACCATATGGGAGGAGGAGACAATTTGTGAGATGCTCAGTGAAGCGTCTTTCCTCAAAATCACTGTCCTGAGTCTAATGTTATAAGCCTTAAAGTGACATTAAACCCTCAGATTTTTTAACATAAAACAATACTGTAATGTTTGCCTTACTGTAATCCATGGTTGTTTCCCTTCTCTGTGCTGCTCTTCCTTTTAAATCTGTATCTGTTCTCATGCTCTGCAGAACTTCTGTTTTGCAGCAGACTGCCTTGTCTCAGGAATACATACACGGTGTCTGTGTATAGGTTTGTATAGGCTTGTAACCTGAGCCAGCACTACAGGAAGAGGCCCTGAGCTGAAAAGGGAAGTTCCCCCCAAGCATGAGAAGACATGAGGATTTAAAAGGAAGAGCAGCAAAGAGAAGGGAAACAACCATGGATTACAGTAAGGCACACATTACAGTATTGGTTTATGTTAAAAAATCTGAGGGTTTAATGTCACTTTAACTTGTTGTTATCAATCTCTCAAGTATCAATGTAGTGTCTGGACTCAAGATGTATATACAAAGGACTTGAAATTACAGTAGAAAAGATGCTCACCCAACAAAAGTGGAACTAATACATCAATTTATAATTAATTCATATAGAGGGGATTTATTCCCTGCAGATTGATGCACTGCATCTCAAAACCAGTTGCTCCATTTGCTCTTAGATATATAAAATATATCCCTATTGGCTAAGCTTCAATTGTAGTTCTGAGCATCAATGGCTGGCATAGACAACAAGATCGTCTAGTTCAGGAAATCAGTTAATTTGCACATATACAATCCTCACTTGTACATACTGTGAATTGTTATAGGGTTATTTCAAGGAGTCTAAACATCTATACTACCAAAAATTATAGAATTGTTTTACAACTAAGTTCTTATTAAAGCATGTGGACTAAACTGAATGTACTCAGTGGCATGACCATTGTGGAGTACATAACTCTGACCTGTAGCCGTCACTATTCACAGTTGTTACATGTACAATACTTTCTATAGTCTGACAAGCTAGTTCCAGTCAGAGTCATGACAAATCTACTGTCACATACCCGCAACCACTCCAGCCAGTGCCATTTTCTGATTCTGTTTGGGAGAAGCTTGCTATTGAGGTCATTTCACAGAAGCACATGTAGGCTTCCAATTAGCTATAACAATAATGCATTTTTACACTGAATAATAGAAACTGCATTTGTCTCAAATATATCATCTGCTACTCTAATTACATTTCTCTCCACTCTATTCAGCTAGGAAGGTAACCCAAAGGAACTAGAGTCAGTGTGACAATGGACCACAGTTTGTTTCATCTGAGTTTGAATCCTTCCTGAGTGAGATAAATATTGTGAATAGGAAATCCTCAGTGTATTACCTCCAAGCAAATGGAGGTAATAAACTATATGCAGAAGGTTTTTAGACTGCAAATCTTATGGGGAAATCTTAGAAGGTTTGGAGTTCTTGCATTTCTACAGGGTGACTATACTTGCAGCTCCAGAGGCATCAGCAGCTGAACTATTACATGTCAGACTAATGCACACTAAACTACATGTTGCAGACTTATGACTCCCACAAAGTGCAATGTCTCTGAGATCATAAGTTGCAATAGAAGTACACTTTTAGCCTAGATCTCTAGTTATAGTTAAGCAAACTTGAAAAAGGTTTAAACAGGGACAGTCAAAATTTTCCAATACGCTTAAAACTTGCGTCTCAACAAGGACCTCACATCTATGAACTATCTGGAATACCAGTCATCTTGTACCACTTAGTCCGGACTTTTCAGAAGACTTATTTTGCATTTTGCTTTTCCTAATCATAACAAAACGAGACCAGGAACCCAAACTGTCTTGATTTACTCAAACATGTAGGCCAAAGAATATGTGATGTAATTAAAATGCGCAGTACTGTTTTGCGCTAGAATTCTATACATTGTTGATGTCTGTATATTTCAATATTGAGGAAAAAAAAGACTCCATTTTTTTTTCTTCTACAAGGGGACTATGTGGTGTACATACCTCTGGCTTCTAGATGTCACTATTCAAAGTTGTTGCATGTATAATACTTTTTATACTTTGGCAAGTAGGTTCCAGTTCCTGTTATTTTATACTCGTGGATGCCTAAACCCGTTAATAAAACACTCTATAACTACTTTGCCTCCCAGACTACAGGACAGAAGGACCAGCATTAGATGATATCAGTAGGAAGGTGGTATCCATGAATGCACTGTACTGTATCTGGTATGTTCAGTAGAATCTTCTACAGTTTGGGATAGAATCTGAAATGGATAAAACCCCTTTTTTGCTGTCTGTGTCCCATTGAGGAGAATTTCCTTTACTTCTTGTCTAAAGACACAACAGGAAGTTAAAAAAAATCTCACCATATTATGGGAAATTCTCTTTTAAAAGGTGTTTACTGGAACAAACATTCCCTCTGAAACAGTTACCCTCTATTTCTGACAGAGTAACAAATCAAAATCTTAGATTTTCCTTCACTTGACAATTGTCAACAGAACAGGAAAAGCGAATCTCCTCAACAGAGACACAGACAGCAATAAAACTTGATATAAATCTAACTCTTCCCTACTCTATCCAAAACAAAAATATGATACAAATTAATTATCAGCAAACTAACAGCTCATGATTAAGATACTGTGTGTGATCATAGTATGTGTTGTAACCAAAAGATGTTTCACCAGATTTTCAGGTACCTAAATACAGTGGTGCCTTGTAAACAATATGCATTATTTGTCAGCTTGTGGCTTTCAGGATATAATTATTTTAAACCTTTCAAGTTTTTCAAACCAAATCACTAAACTCTCATATAAGCTTTTAACATGCCAATGTTTATTTTAAATAATCAGCTTTCATTAGAGTTATACCTGGTGATCCTGCCATGAAGATCCTTGTTCAAGCATGTCCTGTTATGGTGACAACGCTCAATTCATGTTTCCAAATTGGATCCTGCATTGTCACCATGTCACACAGGCTTCCATTGAAGACTATGGGGTTTATTTATAAAAAATTGCATCCCTAAATGGACAATTCCTATAAAAACTGCATCTGCCAGGCTATACATAGGGCAGAACTTTTATAGATGAACCCCTATGAGTGGCATACTACACTGACTCCCAACTTCTATGTGTGCAGTTTGCAGGGTTAACAAGTACCAACTGTCCATGATGCTCAATGTTACTGTATCAGGTTTGGACAAAACATGTATTTAATTTAATAAGTAAGCTTGCACATTTACAGTATAATAATAAAGACTAACTATTCAGATACATACATAAGCCCAATCTTTACTGGATCTCTTCAAAATCTGCTTCTATCTTCATTGTTAAAAAAAACATATTTGTCAACTGTCATCCACACATACTTTTGCTGACAAAAACATCTAAAAGGTCTTTCAATAATTCGTCCAATTGTTCAAGTGATTTTGTTTTTAAACAATGTGTTTTATCAAGAATCCTTGAGACTTATAGCAGAAGCAAAATAATACCCATATGCGATGACTGGAATTCTTGGTAATTCAATATTATGAGTTAAATGCCAATGCCATACTTTCACAAAAATGTTCACTATTGATGGAAGATAAAAACAGATCATTACATATGCTGGTGATTTCAGTATGTTCATGAGATAGTGGGGTTGATTTACTAACCTTATAAACACACCACAAACATGTATACACCTCTGTAGTGTGTTCCCTCCCAGCATGATCTATGGGTGGAATCTAAACACCTTTGTAGAGTGTACACACCCAGGAGGTGTGTTGTGCAAAGCCCTGCCCTGAATTGCAAGGTGATGTTGTGTAAATTAGCTCTACATTGTGTTGCTTGCGTTGATGAATGCAGGAATGTAAATGCATGAGCTAACCATTTTTGTCTAAACTGTGAAGCAGCATTATATATGTATCATGTGCATGATTTTTCCATATATGACAGTGAAAATATGCTTATAGAGACTTTTAGGTTGATAAATACGCTTTGCTGTGTAAAAATCACACGCACCTGGTGCGTGCGTGTGTTTAGGTTAGTAAATCACCCTTAGTGTGTGACAAAGCATTCCATGGGCCAACACACCATATATCATCCCAGGAGATGATTAGGATATTTGGATATTCTCTGAAGTTTTTTGTTCTTAGCCATTTTGTGATGTATCCTAATGAGCTGATATATCTGTGTGATAAAGGAAAGGATTGTGGGATTGTCAGAAAATTGATGTGTATGGTGGGCTATACACTTTAGAAAGGCTTGTGCTGCTGTTGCATTGGCTGATGTATTAGGTGCACTACAAAACACATACAATTGTTTTCCTTTTCACCCCCTATGTGTTTTGTTTTCCTTAATCATCAAATGCTTAAGGATCTGATAAAAGTAGTCATGAGATATGTTTTCCAACATTTTTTTATTTTTTTTAAACTATTGAGTGATTGTCACAAAAATCCATGTTGTTAAATGTAAAATATTGAAATCACATATTTTTTGTGCTTCTCCTTTTAGCATTTTACGGTGGGATAATGAGACAGATGTCTCTCAACTGGAAGGACATTTTGACATTGTTATGTGTGCTGACTGGTAAGTACATAAAAATGGTAACTCACGTTAAAAAAGGGGGGGGGGGAGAAAAATAGATTTGTTAGAATAATTGCACTGCTCTGCTCTCTGACGGCTAAGCAAAGTCAACAAATGAAGCACTAAACTGCCTTAACCTCAACAAATTAATATTCATCTCGATGTGACAGTCATGAGGTAGTCTTCTATCACAGAGTAACTTGTACCACATTATTTCCTGAAGATTGAATTTGAGAAGCATTTCCATTTTGTGAAATTGCCTCTGTTTCATGCTTGACGTATCAGTAAATGGACGACTTAAGCAAATTGCAAATAATTATGGTTCAGGGAGGTACAGTCTGGAGGAAAGGGAGTTTATCAACACAAACAGCTCAATTAGCTTACTTGTTACTAAAGATCTGACTATTGATATTAGTGCAAGGTTGTGCATTTTTTTTTGGCATTCAAGTGATCGCCAAAATAATGTTTTCTGAGCATACCCGCTTTAACAATCTGTTGTGACACGAGCTATCTTAAGTGGGGTCCCAAATGATTTATGTATAAGAAAATGTCTTCCAGTGATCTGTGGTCTTCTGCTGAATTGTAATAGCTACTTAGAGTGTTTTAAATGCATATGAGACCTTTACAGAGGGGGGGAAAAAATCAGCAACTTGTATACGTCAATCGTTCAAGAAGAGAAGCAAATTATATCTGATGTTTCTGAAGGCTGCTGAAGTTAAGTAGACAGTTATTAACAGCAAGGTAATAGGGAGGAACATTGTATCATGTTCTTTATTCTCTGGATAAATCATCCTACGACATATTGTAACATGTAATTAGGAGAACAGGTATTATTTCAGAGGAGTTGTCAGAAATAGCATTAATCAAGCTTGTCACTATTTTAGTTCAATTCACAGTTCTGCTACAGCTTCTTTACATTGAAAAATGTATATTTTCCTTTCCTTTTTTTTTTTTAGAGCTGGACTTTATTTGGTACGGACTTAAGTTTTACAGTTTTTTTTTCTCATAGATCTGTACCATGGATGTACAATGTATTAAACAAGTTAAGAAATGTATATATAACCTTATCATTCAATGAACTGTTTGCTTTAAATCAGAAATACATTTTAAAGGATCATCCTTCTGATGGCATTCCTTTTTATAAATCAGCCTTTGTGTTCAGAGAGATCCTTGAGGAAGTTACTGACTGGCTGGTGAAATATTTTATAGTGTTGTTTCTATGCATTTTATATTTCAGCCCCAGTAAGCTTTATTTTATGAAAACTGTTTGCCATTGTAACTGTGTTCATGGGGACTTCCATCACATAGTAACAGTTCAGAAATGGTGCAATACAGGCAAGGTTCTTTGTTCATGAAAAGACAAACCTGGGTTTGCAGCTAAACCACAGATAACGTGTCCCCGAGATGCATCATCTGATTAAAATAAAGAGCTAAACAACACCATATGATTTCAGCAAGTAATTTAGTAAATGCCTTCCTCACCAAATATTAGAATGGATACTACAGGTTTCATTGCACAGATGAAGTTAATGCTCAGTAGGATTAGACCAGATTAAGTATGAAAGTCAGATCAGAGAGCTGGCGGACATGAGCAGGAGGGCAACAGTCTTCTCAGGGGCTTAGACAAGCCTCACATATGGATGTTTTCCAGATTATGTGGGTGAAGCAAGGTCTTGCCAACAGATTTAGAGTTAAATTTGCTCGCCACACAAATATCAAAACAACAGTGGTTATAGCCATCTTCTACTGCCTATCACACCACGTCATCCAATTTGAATAATAACATGTTGGATTTTAAAGGCTTTTTGTTTATTTTTTCTCCATAATGCCATATTTTTAACATTTCTAATTTTTTTAACATGCCTTTTTTTTTAAATGTCTCAATTAAATTACAATTATTTTTATATTAACCTATTGAATACTGAAAAATGGCCTGGATGGGAAGGGGGTTTAACACCGGGGATGTCAACTGGTTAATTAAGTTAAGCTATTTTCTTTTGTGAGAATATATTTATATGCATGTATTTGCTTGAGTTGTGTTATTTTTTGTTGCAGTGATTTTAAAGTTGTATTTTCCAAATTAATAAGTTAATATTGTTCAGAAGTATATGCAATATGAAGGAGCGACAGAGAATGAACTTTTTAGGCACCAACAGGACCACTTGGATTAGTATTAAAAGACATTTTATTAAATAGATATCTCATAAAATCACAGAACAGTAATTAAAATTGTCAAAGCACCTAGTACGCTCAAGATATGAGCCTATTCCTCACATAGATACATTAATTCAGTGTGTTATATATACAAAAGGGTGAAGAGTTTGGAGAAGGAAGATAGCTTCTATCAGTATATAAATCATACAGGTTCCATTTTAGATGCGTAATAGTAGATATTAAACAGCTATTGAACAGAAGGGTGTATACAACTTGCTCTACACATTCACGGTCACCGACGCTTCTTCAGGAGCTTATATGAGTATACAATAGTGGCTCAAAAGTTAGCATGATTGTCTTAATGCGTTGGCAGGGGATCCATGCATCAAAATAGATGGGAGGGCGTCTGGGCACACTTAGCACAGCCTCCCCAAACCGGTTTACATATTGTTGCAATCTTGGGATGGCAAAGTAGACAAATTACTCTTAAATAAAGCTTGCCCTTCCACACAATGACCACACCCATCAGTCCCACATGGGAAAACTCAGTATCGATCATATAAGGCATCCAACCCTGGTGTGGTCAGCACGAACTGCGTCTCTCACCATCCCCATGTGATAGTGTTCCCCTTTCTGTAGCATGAGAGGATGTATCTATGTGAGGGATAGGCTCATATATCTTGAGCATACTAGGCACTTTGGCAATTTTAATAACTGTTCTGTGATTTTATGAGATAATTATTTCATAAAATGTCTTTTAATACAAATCTAAGTGGCCATGTTGGTGCCTAAAAAGTCAGTTCTCTAAAAGCTTATGGCATCCTAAACCCATGTTGGCAAATCACAACCAAAAGCCTAGGTATTTGGTCTCATGATATCTGCTGAAGGGAGGATCAGCCACTGAGAACTTAGATATATTAGGTATTCGGCTATGTTGCTGGTTGCCATAGGGTCCTGAAGCATCAGTTACTGCAAAAGAGTTAAGTTATTTGAGGACTTCTGTTAATTTTTATAAATTGAGTTTTGTGCCTGTTGGGGAGAATTTGTTTTACTTCTGTTCCAGGTGCCACAAGTCACTGGGATAAGTAATGAATGCAAATCTCAGTAAAACCTGACAAAGGCTCTAACCCTTTCTTATCCTAATAAGAAAAAAAATCCCCTCTAATCCTGTCTCACACATGAAACTTAGAACAGAAAAAAGAAAATTTCTAAACCTTCTACAAGGAGACATATACAGTACCACGCTAAAATCACACTTTATCCAGAGCTAAAAAAAATATTAATTTTGGCTACATTTGTAAGGCAATTGTTATATATAAATATATATAATTTTTTCTATTTTTTCCTACAAAGGTTTACATTTAAAATAAAAGTACATTTACATGACTTTCTCGCATTAAAATACATTGGTTAGTCTGCAATATTACACTATGTGGGATCCATACTTTTTGTATACAGCGTTTCAATTCCATGCCACATATATTATTCTTTATGGTATTTGGGGGAGTGGTGGCTATCATTTGTATAGAGGAGGTCCGTTTGTGCCATATATGATACATTAGCTTATAAATAGGTAAATTCATATTAGTTAGCTGAATCCAGATAGACAGAGGTGGAGCTTGAGGGTTAGTCTGGCTAGAAATCTAGATTAAGACATATATTGCCTGATTATAACAATCAGTACTCAAATTATTAAATCTCTTTGATTCACCGGGTCTGCTGAGTAAGGTATACTTGTCTTTCATACTGTATAAACCTTTTTATGTAAATTCCTGTACAAAAGGGAAACATCCAAGTTAATTCAATCTAACTAGCATTTTACATAATCCGTAAACATAATCAGATATTGTACGTGTTTGGAATTAAAGAGAAGGAAGTTGTATGAAATTGATACTCACCTTTTGACAGAATTGCAAGACCCAAACACTGTCATATGAGTAGAATGAAGAACAAGTTAACCCTGTATAAGCTCCAGCACCACATGCAGCTTACACGGGGTTAGGACTTAGAGCTCTGAAGGACTTGGAGGAGATCGGGAAGGTGAGTATCAGTGGGTGGGTCCATTTCTAAAAAGAGCACCGGTGAATTTGCCTTCAATTAACAAATCTGGAGTCTTTTTAAAGGAAACTGTCCAAAGAGAAATAGAGGAGCTTCCATTGCTAAGGCAATCAGAGGGTTAGATGTCAAGGGAAGTCTGACAGTTAGTAACCTGTCAACTGCTGGACCTCACACACTATCGTTCATACATGGTAAGATAATAGAGTGTAGCAGGTACAGGGCTCCAGCACATTTATGACATTTATGCTGGAGGGAGGTCTGTCTCTACTGGCTGCTCTAAGGAAGGTGCATACTGGTATTCATGTGAAAAAAGTATGGTAATACACTTCATTAATTTACCAGCATTTGCAGCATCCCTGTTTTGAAAGTTTGAGTCAGTAGACCTGACACTTTCATACATGAACAATTTGCTGCCACTGTGATGAACACTTTAATCCGTCAATCATTTATAAGTATGAACACATAATTGAAACTGTATTGCTCAGTGTTTGCAAAACATGGCTGCAGCTTGAAATATAATTTATAATGGGAAGTGCATGCTTCTGTGTCTATCAGATGTGCATGCTTGTGTGTGTGTATATACAGTGTGTGTGTGTGTATATATATTTAATATACCTAAGGATCCAATCACTATGTCAGCCCATATCACATTCAATTTACAAAGCTGCAGTTTTTGGGAACCAACATAGCTCCTGGATAAGTCTTTTTGGCACCAAACTACCACCTGCAGCCCAAAAACTAAGAAGAGGAAGCCTCAAAGGGTGCAGACCACCTCTAAGGCTGCTTTTCAG